CCATCAGCAGGGAACTCCCAGCTGGGTAGGCTGCCAACGATCTGCTGTCTGTCCACCCCAGGTGAGCTGCTCACATTCTGAGATGGAGAGGGTAGAAAATGAATGAGGGAGGGGCAGACAAGCATGAACATGGGCAGAAGGCATAACATGTCCCTGGACTTGAAGGGGGCTTGTGTGAAATTCTGTCATACCTTGTGAAACAGGATGTGTTTTAAGATGAAAATTATCATCATGCTCTATTCAGTCTCAAGGATCCCGTGTTGTAGATTTATTGTGGAATTTGCATATTACAACACACATAGACATTAATAGCTGTTTTTATGACTTTTGCTGTAGGAATATTACTGCATGTGATTTCATCTCTCATCTCACAGCAGTGAATTTCAGAAACCTCTCCTGATGTATTGGGTAGTGAATTGTTTAACCAACTGCTGTTGTAAAGTGCACCATAGTTTAATTTATTCCACATTTGTGGATACTTCGTGTGTGTGTGTGTGTGTGTAATTAGAATATATAATTAGAATCAGAGTCAATCTTAATGAAATCATGGCCTACTTAGAAATAACATTTATATTATGTACTTATTAATTAAAACATAAAGACATCAGAAAAGTATCTGGTTCCAGAACCTGATAAAACAGATTGGTAGTTATCCCACAACTACGAAGATGAGGTGTGTGACTCCAGCTATGAGCACAGCAAAGATGATCTGTGATGCCAGGAGCTGAGACAGGCTCCTCTGGTCACAAACACTGGGAATTTAATGGCAAGTAAGTCATGAAGTTTAGATCTCATTTCACCTCAGAATTAATGCTGATGAATGGCTTAGATGTAGGAAATGAAAACATTAAGAAACTACTCAAATGTATCAGTGGACACTTTGTAAACCCTGAGCAACAGCAATGAAGACAGCAACATGAAAAATGAATTGAGATTTGAAAAAAGAACAACATTCTGGAGATGAAGGAGATAAATCACACTTAAATATTTTTGATTTGGGAACTTATGTGGATTACATGATGAGTCAGTTTAAAGGCCAATAATGTGTAACAATCTCTTAACTGTTCATCAGATGGCACAAACAACTTGGTGAGAAAGAATTTGCAAATGTCTTGTAAACACAAGTGACTTGTAAACACAAAAATTAATATGCTCATTTAATTCAATATAGGGGGCCCTTTGGACTTGCAGAATTAGAGAGAGGGAACAGGATGACTCGAGAAGTGTTGTGGACAAAGCGAAGGGCTCCAGAGGTGATGCGGGTCACTATGGGCATCCTCAATGCGGGCAGCCTCAGTGTGGTTCAGAGAGGGACACTTATTTTAGTAAGGAATGTAAGCCCAGAACCAAGGGATTCTTTACACAGATATTCACCCTAGTGTTGTTCTAGATTAATAAATATTTGGAAGACATCTACATTTATAGTAAAAGACAAGATGTAACATAACGTCTGTTTCTAAGGCAGAATACTCTGAAGCTTTAAATTCAAGATTGATATTTCTAAAAGTATTTAACATGTACACAATTCAAATATTTAGTGAAATATGGAGCTGTAAACAGCATGATTTTTCCATATCTTTCATATATTTATATGTAATTCATTAACATATGTTGAAAATAAAAAACAAAAATTTTATAGTAAATAATATTTGAGAGTGGGATTATAAGAGTTTAATTTCTTGTATTTTCATTGTTGTCTTAATTACCTACAGTGTTCATAAAACACATTTAGAGAGGGAAAAAGATAATATTTTACCAAAATCACTAAATATAATTCTAAACAAAAATATCACATATGCCATTGATCTGAATTTACTTTTCCCTTATGTAAGGACAGCTTGAATCTGTGGTATCATCTCAGAACCAAAAGTCAGAGGTGCAATGGCACATTCCTGTCCACATGCCAATCCTGGAGTGTTGCAGAGTGAGCCAGCACAGGTGAACAGGTGAACTGAGTGCTGTGGGGATGCAGGCAACTGAGGAAGAGGCACCGTCTCACAGCACCCAGTGCAGGTTCTGTGGCTGAGGGTGGTGAGCTCCCTCAGGGCTCATGAGAAGGCAGCAGAGGTCCCTGACCACCAGCACCAGTCATTCTTCCTTTTCCTCTGCCACAATGGACTTAGTGGAGCACATTCACTTCTTCAGCATAAGACTTTGTGCCCTTTGTTTTCCCTGCATCAAATGATCTTCCTAGCTCTTGATTCCTCCATTATGCTACTCAATTACTGTGCCCTGATGGGTTTTCACTTACAGAACCCAGCACCTGAAACTTGAGTCCTTAGGATGCATTTATTTGCTCCTTGTTGACTGGCTCTCTTGTCACCCACAGGCCCATGAGCTCTACAAGGCAGTCAATTCCTCTCTGCTCACTGTGTGTTCTCACATCCTAGCAGAGTGCCCCGCAGACAGCAGACATGGAATAAACACCTGGGAAGACGCTGTTGACTAGGACCAGTCTCTCATGTTCTTCTCCAGTTTTTCAGTTTTTCCATTTTCAAAATCTAATAATCACAATATTTAATGTGATCTTCTTTTACCTAATGTTATTGTTTTTTGGTTCTTTGCTTTCATACTTTTGATCTCCTTTGACTTATGCTACAATCCCAAGAAGAAGGAAAATTAGTATTCCAGGAAAATGCACACCAAATCCAATGTTCCAGGTTAGTATTTTCTAGCGAATGACTGTTGGGCACCTTTTCTCCCTATTCATGAAGTAAAGCTTTAAAACAAACACAGATTTCATAATTGTGTCACCCTAATTCATTCTACTTGTCATTATGGTTCTTGGCTGAAATTCATTTACAGAGACAGGCATTTGATGCAGTGGTCAAGATGCTCCTTGGGATGCCTGCATTCCACATTGGAAAACCTTAGTTTCCATCCTAGCTCCGTTCCAATTCCATGCATCCTTGGAGGCAAGGATGATGGCTCAAGTAGTTGTGTCCCTGTCAGCATGTGGGAGGCCTGGATTGATCTCTGAGTGCCCAGCTTCCACCTGGCCCAGCCCTGGCTGCTGCAGGCACTTGTGGAGCGAACAGCAAATAGAAGAAATGTCTCTGTCCATTTATCAGTTTCTGTCAAATCTTTAAAATAATAAGTAGCTGTAAATTGTGAAAAAGGATCTACTTAGGCTATAATTAAATAAAAAAGAAAATCATTTATCAGTAATCAAGCTGATTACTGATATCAATAGTGGATATTTTGTGGGGCAAGAATTAGGCTTGATTATAGTGTTTTTTCTTTTACTAGCTTTTTTTTAGATTTTTTATTTATTTATTTTTTATCTTTTATTTAATGAATATAAATTTCCAAAGTACGACTTATGGATTACAATGGCTTCCCCCCCATACCGTCCCTCCCACCCACAACCCTCCCCTTTCCCACTCCCTCTCCCCTTCCATTCACATCAAGATTTATTTTCGATTATCTTAATATACAGAAGATCAGCTTAGTATGCATTAAGTAAGGATTTCAACAGTTTGCTCCCACACAGAAACATAAAGTGAAAAATAATAGATGATTTTTTTTTAAATGATGATGAAATCAGATCAGACCTATTGTCATGTTTAATCCCAGTGAGAGTCAAGTTGGGAATTGATAATTTCTTTTCTTTTTTTTTTTTTTTTTTACAGAAGATCAGTTTAGTATACATTAAGTAAAGATTTCAACAGTTGGCACCCCCATAGAAACACAAAGCGAAATATACTGTTTGAGTACTCATTATAGCATTAAGTCTCAATGTACAGCACATTAAGGACAGAGATCCTACATGAGGAGTAAGTGCACAGTGACTCCTGTTGTTGACTTTACAAATTGACACTCCTGTTTATGGCATCAGTAATCTCCCTATGCACCAGTCATGAGTTTCCAAGGCTATGGAAGCCCCTTGAGTTCTCCAACTCTTATCTTGTTTAGACAATGTCATAGTCAAAGTGGAGGTTCTCTCCTCCCTTCAGAGAAAGGTACCTCCTTCTTTGAAGACCTGTTCTTTCCACTGGGATCTCACTCACAGAGATCTTTTGCCAGAGTGTCTTGGCTTTCCATGCCTGAAATACTCTCATGGGCTTTTCAGCCAGATCCGAGTGCCTTTAGGGCTGATTCTGAGGCCAGAGTGCTATTTAGGACATCCGCCATTCTATGAGTCTGCTGAGTATCTCACTTCCCATGTTGGATCACTCTCCCCTTTATTTATTCTATCGGTTAGTGTTAGCAGGTACTAGACTTGTTTATGTGCTCCCTTTGACTCTTAGTCCTTTCATTATGATCAATTGTGAACTGAAATTGATCACTTGGAATAGTGAGCTGGCATTGGTACATGCCACCTTGATGGGATTGAATTGGAATCCCCTGGTATGTTTCTAACTCTACCAATTGGGGCAAGTCAGCTTGAGCATGTCCCAAATTATACATCTCTTCCCTCTCTTATTCCCACTCTTATGTTTAACAGGGATCACATTTCAGTTAATTTTCAACACTTAAGAATAACTGTGTGATAATTACAGAATTAAACCAGTCATATTAAGTAGAACAGACAAAAAAAATACTAAGAGGGATAATGTATTAAGTTGTTCATTAACAGTCAGGGCTATGCTGATCAAGTCACCATTTCTCATAGTGTCCGTTTCACTTCAGGAGGTTTCCTTTTTGGTGTTCAGTCAGTTGTCACCGATCAGGGAGAACACATGGTATTTGTCCCTTTGGGACTGGCTTATTTCACTCAGCATGATGTGTTCCAGATTCCTCCATTTTGTTGCAAATGATTGGATTTCGTTGTTTCTTACTGCAGTATAGTATTCTAAAGAATACATATCCCATAATTTCTTTATCCAGTCTACCGTTGATGGGCATTTAGGTTGGTTCCAGGTCTTGGCTATTGTGAATTGTGCTGCAATAAACATTAGGGTGCAGACCGCTTTTTTGTTTGTCAATTTAAACTCCTTTGGGTAAATTCCAAGGAGTGGGATGGCTGGGTCCAACGGTAGGGTTATATTCAGGTTTCTGAGGAATCTCCAGACTGACTTCCATAGTGGCTTGACCAGTTTGCATTCCCACCAACAGTGGGTTAGTGTCCCTTTTTCCCCACAACCTCGCCAGCATCTGTTGTTGGTAGATTTCTGTATGTGAGCCATTCTAACCGGGGTGAGGTGAAACCTCATTGTGGTTTTGATTTGCATTTCCCTGATTGCTAATGACCTTGAACATTTTTTCATGTGCCTGTTGGCCATTTGGATTTCCTCTTTTGAAAAATGTCTATTGAGGTCCTTGGCCCATCTCTTAAATGGGTTGTTGGTTTAATAGTGTTCTGAGTTTTGTATTAAAAGACAACAGGAACTATTAAACTTTCATTAAGTTTAATTTGTGGTTCATTCTTCTGAGGTGAGAGCTGTAATCATTCCTCAGACAAAAATAGTACTTGGAATTTTTAAGACATTTACTTAAATTAACTTGAATTCATGTATTTATAGCAAATTAACCAGGTATGCAAACTAGATTGCGTCTCCTAGGTCAAGGTGCTTACTTAGACACTCAGAGAGTAATAACATAATTAAGCTCTCATGGTCTAAATTATACATCACCAGTTGGTGAGATAAGAAAGGCCTTGTTTCTGAGACAATCACTATCTCATGTGTTCCTTTTAATATTCTCAAACAATGCAAATAATAACCCACTAATTTAGAAGAATACATATTTAAAATATAACTGTGTTCAACATTCTATTCTAAATTGTATAGAAAGCTTCTATATACATAGCTGAAAGGAAGTGGTGGAGGAAGATTTAAGTAGCTTTTAGTGAATGTGTGGTGGTGTCTATTGGGGATGCTGGATTTCAGACCTTGGAGATGAATTGCAAGTGGTCATATCTTGAAAACATCCACTTGTTGCAAACAATGCAGCCTTGTGGAGAGGAAGAGACTGTATTCTATTGATTTAATATAAAGGAAAGCACCAATATATCCTATTTAAAGGCTCCTAGAAATGTAATATTGTTGTTTTTTTCTAAATAAACAGCAGTAGAGTCTGTCTACAAAATTCATCTATAAAACTTTACTTAACATTCCATCCAAAACCAAATGAAAATGCAACAGAAATGACCAATGAGAGCTTCCCGGTGGGCTTCATCCTTCTTGGATTCTCTGAATGGCCCCAGGTAGAGGTGGTTCTCTTCTGGATTGTGATCATGTTGTACCTCGTGACTATCCTGGGCAACTCAACCATCATCTTGCTCTCATGCATGGACCCTCGTCTCTACACCCCCATGTACTTCTTTCTTAGCAATCTTTCCTTCTTGGATCTCTGCTTGGCCACAGCCTGTGTTCCCCAGATGCTGTCAAACCTGTGGGGGCCAGACAAGAGCATCACCTATGCAGGCTGTGTCATGCAGCTCTGTGTGTTCCTCTGTGTTGGTGCTACAGAGTGCATCTTGCTGGTGGCCATGGCCTTTGACCGCTATGTTGCTGTGTGTCAGCCTCTGCGCTATACTACCATTGTGCACCGTCCACTCTGTTGGAAGTTGGCGCTCATGGCCTGGATGTCAGGTCTGACAGAGTCACTTATCTTATCTCCTGTTACACTCCAGCTGCCCTTCTGCCCCCATCACCGTCTGGATGACTTTCTGTGTGAGATTCCTGTGCTCATACGCCTGGCCTGTGGTGACACCTCCATCAATGAGTGGCAGTTGACCATCTCTGCTGTCATCTTCACCATGGTGCCTGTGGGGTTGATCCTGACTTCTTATGGCCGTATAGCTCAAGCAGTGGGGAAAATGAAGTCAGAGGAGGGGAGGCAGAAAGTCATTGCCACCTGCTCCTCCCACCTCCTTGTGGTCTTCATGTTTTATGGGACAGTGGCAATGGTGTACACAGACCCTAAGACCAACTTCTCTTCCAAATATGGCAAGTTCTTCACCTTCTTCTACACTGTGGTCACACCCATGCTGAACCCTCTCATCTATACCCTGAGGAACAAAGAGGTGAAGGATGCTCTTCAAAGGATGCTGAGAAAGGGGATCCGCTTAAAGAAATACTGATATTAAATCGTTGAACCAGGAAGGATGCTGTAAGTCATGACATGAACCCACTCTCCTTTTAAGTCTTTGAATCAACAGCAAAAGTTGTGAATTTTGAGCCAGTGTTGTGTCATAGTCGGTTAAGCTACCACTTGTGATGCTGGCATCCCATATGGGTGCCAGTTCATATCCTAGCTGCTCCACTTGTGATCCAGCTCCCTGCTAATGCCCTAGGGAAAGTAAAAGAAGATGGACCAAGTGGTTGTTCCCCAGTACCCACATGGGAGACCAGGGTAATGTTATTGGCTCCTAGCTCTGGCCGTCATCTGTGAAATGGACCAGCAGATGGAAGATTTCTCTCTCTGTCTCTCTCTCTCTCTCTCTCTTTCTCTGTCTTTCAGTATCTCTCTGTAACTCTGAATTTCAAATAAGCAAATAAAAATCTTTTAAAAAGTTGTGAGTTTAATATAAAAATGACTTATCCATTATTTCTATGATTTTACATATCCTTGCTAAACAATAAAGTACAAATCTTGGGACTGCCATTATGGGTTAAACCACCTCTTTCAATGCTCATATCTTATATGAGAGTACTAGTTTGCATCCTGGCTATTCCACTTCCAATTCAGTTCTCTGCTAATGTACCTGGGAAAGCAGCAGAAGATGGCCCAAATATTTGAGCCCCTGCCACCTCTGTGGAGACCCAGAAGGAGTTCTGGGCTCCTGGCTTAGGCCTGGCCCAGCTTCAGCTATTGTGACCATTGGGAGTAAACCAGCAGATGGAAAATTCTTGGTCTCCTTCTCTCTCTGTCCCTCTTACTTTCAAGTAAATAATAAATCTAAAAAAATCCCAATCTAGTATTAATTGTTGCCAGAAGATAACTTAAAATTGTATTTGGGGGCTGGTACTGAGGCATAAAGCCACCAACTGTGACACCAGCATCCCGTATGGACAGTGGTTCAAGTTCCTGCTGCTCCATTTCTGATCCTGCTCCCTCCTCATGGCCTGGAAAAAGCAGCAGAAAATGGTTCAAGTTCTTGGGCCCATGCTACCCATGTGGGAGACCCAGGTGAAGCTCCTGGCTTCAGCCTGGCCTGGATGTTGCAGCTATCTACGGAATAAACCAGTGGATGGAAGATCTTTCTGTGTCCCTCTCACTCTCTCTCTGACTTTCAAATAAATAAATAAATCTTAATATATAACATATATATATATTTGGATGATGAATAATATTAGTTCTACAGTTAATTTTTGAGGAACATAAATTATTTCTGAAGCCACATAACTTCTACAAGCTGAATATTCTCAAATTAGAAAATAGATTATAAATTATCTTTTTTCAATTTTAAAATAAAGAATTGGTACAATTTTATATCATGGATTTTCTTATGCAATTTTCCTGTAGCTTCCCCGGGTACTTAGTACAAACTTGCTCCATTCTTTTTAGTTTGGTCATTTTACCTGCATGCTTTTGTGCCGTAGTCTCTGTGAAGTTTCTAAAGATGAATCCACCACAATGAGGTGTCCCTGAGGTGTTAGGACCCAGAAGAGGTAAAGACACACATTCCTTGAAACAGAGCTCTAAATGTAATGCAAATTTAAATTTAACTTCCATGTTTACACACACACACACACACACACAGAGAGAGACAAACAGAGAGAGAGAAGAAGCAGAGAGAGAGACTCTTTCATGGCTTCTGTTCTTTGTAGTGACATTTTGGAACCACAACTGCATAAATCTAAACCATTTTTTTTGCAATGGATTCAGTTTTTTTTTTATTTATTTTTTTTTAATTTTTTGACAGGCAGAGTGGACAGTGAGAGAGAGAGACAGAGAGAAAGGTCTTCCTTCTGCCATTCGTTCACCCTCCAATGGCCGCCGCGGCCAGCGCACCGTGCTGATCCGATGGCAGGAGCCAGGTACTTATCCTGGTCTCCCATGGTGTGCAGGGCCCAAGTACTTGGGCCATCCTCCACTGCACTCCCGGGCCATAGCAGAGAGCTGGCCTGGAAGAGGGGCAACTGGGACAGAATCTGGCGACCTGACCGGGACTAGAACCCAGTGTGCCGGCGCCGCTAGGCGGAGGATTAGCCTAGTGATCCATGGCGCCGGCCGGCAATGGATTCAGTTTTAAATGGTGCTTCCAGTGATTTAACACAACTATGAGCTGGAAAGTCCCATTCAGATTTCCTAAGTCTTTTCAAGGCCCTTGATTCTTTTTTTTTTCAAATATCAAAAAATAGCTCATATGTACATAAATTGTAACCATATTCACTCTCCGATTTATCACAAAGTCATTGGGGTAGTTGGCAGATGTAACTATGAATAGTTGGATAAATCAGAGTTCTGGGAGTAACACTGTTGGCAAAATATTTGAAAGACAACAGGTCAGTGCTGGGAGCTAAATTTGATACTGATTAAAAAGACTCCTATAGACCGGTGCCGCGGCTCAATAGGCTAATCCTCTGCCTTGCAGCGCCAGCACACCGGGTTCTAGTCCTGGTCAGGGCGCCGGATTCTGTCCAGGTTGCCCCTCTTCCAGGCCAGCTCTCTGCTATGGCCCGGGAGTGCAGTGGAGGATGGCCCAAGTCATTGGGCCCTGCACCCACATGGGAGACCAGGAGATGCACCTGGCTCCTGGATTCGGATCAGCGTGATGCACAGGCTTCAGTGCGCCAGCCGCGATGGCCATTGGAGGTTGAACCAATGGCAAAAGGAAGACCTTTCTCTCTGTCTCTCTCTCTCTCACTGTCCACTCTGCCTGTCAAAAAAAAAAAAAAAAAAAAAAAGAGAGAGAGAGAGAGAGAAAAGGAAAGGAAAAAAGACACCTATAAAGTTTCAGTTTCAGTATATTTTAAGAGGGTACCAGAGTAACAACAGCAAATTTACAAAGCCTTATCAGGTAACACTGGTTTATTTCTTGCATACATAAAGTCTAGTGTGGGTGTACATGAATTCTGTTAGTGGTTCTATATTTGCAGCTTTGGAGACCCAAGTTCATTTGTCCTTAGGGGCGTCTCCAATTCGAGAACACAAGACTGTTGGTCTCAGCTATATTTCCGTCCATTAAGTTACACATGCCATCTCCTCTCATGTTTTCTAGCTCAAAAAAGTCAATTGGCTATACCTAAATTCTTCTGGAAAGAGTTTTGAGATATTCTGACATCTGTCTGTAACTGGAACACAGCCTGTCATTGGCAAATACCATATCAAGGGATGTGAGAAGACTCAGAGAAGGTGCGATGGGAGAGGTAGGTTTTCTTTATGAAGCTGAGGAAAAAAGGAATTCCTTGTTGTGTAGTATTTCTATAAAAATGTATATTTTAGGAGCTTAAGATAATTTCAAATAGAGAACAATGGGAAAAAAATACTACTTGTTGCACTTTCTGCTGACCCATTGAACTGGCAGCTAAGTGTTTATTTGTCTATTTCTCTTCTCATTCCCTTACCATTTTCACTATTGATTTATTCTCCCAAAGTACACTTAATTATTTTTAAAGCCATTTTTCTCATTTATTGCATTTATTTCCATCTTTAGAATGTTTCCTTCTGCAAGAATTGGCCAGTTTCTATCAGTCCTGTGAGCTTTGTTAATTGGTACTTTTTTAAAAATGGCAGCAGTATAGTCTGAAATCAGGTAATACAGTATCTTTAGCTTTGTTCTTTTTGCTCATGATTACTTTTGCAATTTTTTGTGGATTATTTGTGACTTTTAGAATTCTTTTTATGTGAAGAATGACATTGACATTGGATTTTTTCTAGATACTGCATTGAAGCTTTAGTTTGTTTTGCACAGTATAGATATTTTAAGAATCTGATGGAAAACTATATTTACCACAAGGATTACTACAGGAATTTGAAACATATATGGGAACTCTGTTTGAGACTTCATTTGAACATATAATTTCATTTTAATCTACTTAATTAATGAAAGAATTAATCAAGAGCATAATGTAGAAAAACAGAAAAAAACATACCTTGTATGTCTTCTCATAATGAAAAATTTTAAAATCTTAATCCAAAACTTTACCAACTCAACAATAGTGATTAAAATTTTACAAGTGTTAATCTCTTCTTTGAGGAAAATAATTCATGCTTTCAATTTAGTCTTTAGAAAAAAGGTGGTGCAAGATGGTGAAATAAAGTTCTCTAACAATCATGTTCTCACAGAGATACAAATTTAAACAAGTTTTTATGCACAAAAATACTGTCACATAAATTAAGGAAATCAGGCCAGAGATTGTAGTACCTAGTTATAACATAATATTCAGAACATAGTGAAGCCCTGTCTTGACTGTGGTATCCAATGCTGACCCTTTTCAGCATGAAGCAGCCAGAGTGGTCATAACTCAGTTCCCCTAACAGAAGTTAGGGTCCATTCTTCTGGGGTGTAAATGTGAGGAGTCAGATGGGTTAAAAGGCAGTCAGGGTGGTCCCAGTGGAAACTGAGGTACAGAGTGCTTGCTTTCCCCTAAAAGTTATCTTCTAGAAAGGTCAAAAGCACTTGCCTTCCCACTTCTTGAAAGCTTCCAATTTTACCATAAGAATAACAAAGGAGTGGAGATTCCAACCTTCTGAGCTCAAGTTCATTGTAAACAAGTTACCTAACCCAGCCCTTCTGATGGCTCTATGTTTTACCATGAGCAAGCCAAACAGGATAAAAATTTGCAAATCAGTCTTTTGATGGGTTTTGTTCCCACCTTGTAACTGAATGTCAAATTTTTTTCTTCCCCAAAATTGTGCTTAAAAACCCTAGTACTGATGCAGGCATGCAGATAAGATAAAATTGATTAGATCTGTGAGCTGGAAGACCATGACTTCACCATGCCCACTATGTAATCTCATGCCCCTTACCTGACCCCACCTGTATGTCCACCTGCCAATCAGGCTACGTAACCACTCCCCTTTAGAAGTAGGTAAAAGGCCTGGAACACAGTGGGCCCTTCCCCTTTCTCCCTTTTTCACCCTTATTGCCCTTTGCTGCCCTTGCTGCCTGTGCCTTTGGGGCACATGGCCTTTGGGCCACCAACTCCCTGCTTTCCTGCCTACTTGCTTGCTGCACATGGCTCCTGACCTGCTCTCTGCTTGATATGAACTCTAACTTAATTTCTAGACTCTTCTTTCTCCCTTAGATAGAACTCTCACTCTCCTATATATTTCCCACACTGAGCAAAA